CACATTTTTTAAATAAGTGTGATTATATATATATATATATATATTTTTAATCAAACATTCTAATTAAAGTGTGATTATTTATATATATTTTTAATCACATCTTCTAATTAAAGTGTGATTATATATACATTATTACTTTTTATTCACACTCCCAAATAAGTGTGATTGTATAAAATATTTCAATTTTATTTTTATATAAAATATACAATTCCCAAATTCGCGCCTCTATTCTACCCATGAATGACAGAGGACGACTCTTTCCATTCCCAACAAGATTGAATTTCACAAGCATACAGGTCTCTTCTCCTTGCCTTTTATTCCCGGTCGGGAGGATTAGCTGGTACTTGAAGAAGGGTCGCTATGCTCAGTGGGTCGGAACTAGAGGTCTGGTTTTCATAGCCGTTGTACTTGAATACCTAGCTACTGAAGTAACTCTCTCTCTCTCTCTCTTCAATACAACAAAATTGGATTTTTATAGTTTCACATCAACAACATACAGTAAATGCAAGCCGTGGTTTTTCACTTTTACGACTTACTTTTTTTGCATGTCGTAAATAATTTCACAACCATGACGTGTCTATTGCGTAGGTCGTAAATGCTAATAACGATGATTTTTTTACGACTTGCAATGTCAGCCGTAAATAATAAAACTTTCTATGACGTACATATGGTATGCCGTTAATACATCAACTATACACGACACGCGTACACCAACTGTTAAAAATATTGAACATTTCACGGCGCACAAAAAGCCAGCCGTTAAAAATTTCACTTTCCACGACATACAAAAAACTAGCCGTTTAAAATATTGTATTTTTCATGACACGCAAATGCTGTCGTGAAAGGTACGACCGAAAAAAAAAATAGCGCCAAAATAAAAATTTCAAAGCGCCAAACACCCAAAAACAAAATATTTAAAAATCAAAAATCAAAATCAAAAGCCCCAGCTCCCAACATCTATCTATACCTAATGGTTCTAATCATAAAGGAAGAACAAAGAACATGATTCAAAGAGGGAAAACGAGAAAAGAGGGAGAAGATAGAAGGGTTCAAAAGGGAAGGGAAGGGTTTCAATCTCTCTTTCTGGACACTTTGACGGTACAGAAAGACTGGTTTGGCAGCGGTAACGATCGACGGTACGCACTCATTTCATCTCTTTTCTTCTCCCTCAAACATCTGCATAACAAACGATTATCAAGCATAAGCTTATAATCACTCCTTTTGATGAGGCTAAGGCTGCGAATGGCAAGAACGATCTCGCAGTGGAGGTGGTCGGCGTAGATGAGGTAGGGAGGGGCGTGGTTGTGGGTTTGTTGGGGTTGAGGCAGTGAACTAGGGGTGCCTCTCTATCTCTCTCTCTCTCTCTATATATATATATGTATGTATGTATGTATGTATGTATGTATATGATTGTTTTCAGATTTTGATGATTCTAATCTCTTCTACTAAAGGGGTTTCGTCTAGGGCTAAGGATGTAGTTAGGGATTCGAAATCACCAGCGTTATTGGTTTTAAGGCAAACGGAATCGGGTTTGAGCTTAGATCAAGGGAAATCGGTAATTTCCTCTGAGGAGGTTCATTCGATTAGTGTTAACAGATTGACGATGGGGCGTGAAGGGAGTCTTAGCCCTAGTTCGAGGTCGTTCGTTGCTTTGGTGATGTGTTGGCAATTTGTATAAGTGAAGGAGTCCACCTTATTATAAGGAAAATAGATTATTCTTCCCATGACTTTTTGTTGATGCATATTTACTCAGAAGTCTCTTGAAATTAGATGAAATTGTCCTTCTTAGGTTTTATTCTTGGCAACCCCGTTTGACAAAACTCCTTTCAGTTGTATTTATTTTCGCACTTTTATTTCAATGAGGCTATGAGTGTTTAGATGCGAATCCAACCCGAATTGTGCCTTTCAAAGAAGTTTGTGATGATAATGCTTTCAAGATTGCCACTTTGCTAATTATGACGGGGATCGAGCTGCCCGGTCAGCTCGCGGGGGTCTAGGGGGCAGCGCCCCTTGGCGGGTCCGGGACAGCGCCCCCGAAGCAAAATGCAAAAATGCTTTCAAAATTGCCTGTCCGCTCGAGCGGACATACCCGCGCTCGAGCGGAGAATTCCTGATTCCAGTAGTTTTGGTCGCCTGTAAAAGTACTGAGATGTGTGATTTCGCGCTCGAGCGGACCTCTGTTATATTTCGCGCATATTTTGCTGAAGCCGCTCGAGCGGGCTGTTGGGTGCTCGAGCGGAGATCGCGGGACAGATTCTATAAATTCGCATATTGGGTCAGATTTTAGGATTACTACTCCAGATCTTCTTTTTGGGTTCTAGGGTTTATATCTGGGGATACTTTGTGAGTTTTCTTTGATGTTTTGATTGAGTATTCAACTCATGTTTTAAAGAGTATACATCAAAGGTTTATTTGTCTGTTCTACACAAAAGAGAGTTGTTTTTCGGTGAATTCTAAAGAATTCGAGCTTGAAACTTTGGTGGATTCTGGAGTGGCTCATCGTCAAGACAATTCTGAGGTGAAGACGGGGTTGGAAGAGGCACAAAGGGGTTGGTTCAATTCGGGTGTGGATTCGTTGGGTAATTGAGAGTATACCTGTGTAATTCCTTTATATCTTCTTAGTGGATTGTTTTATGGCTGTTGCCTGTGGTTTTTTTTTCACAGTTGGAGGTGTCCAATTGTGGTTTTTTTCACGTTAAAATCGTTGTGTTGATTTGTCTTGATTGTTATTGGGATTGCATATTCTGTTTAAAATTGATACATAATTCACAAATCAACATTTAGGGATTTCTAGATTATATCAGTCCTAACTGACTAGTTTCTCCTTTGCAAGCGTCATATCCTCTTTAATTAACCTCTTTCTTAAATACGAAATCAAACAGCCATTTATGTACTGAGGCGCTGTAGCTTATGAGTGTCATTGTGCGATTTGGGAAGTGCTTTCATTATGTCTGATATTAATTTTTACATCTTATGAATAATCTTCCTTTTTTTTTTTTCATATTAACTTCTTATTTGTGGAGGTATATCATTCCTTGAAAAGAGTGGCAACTATAATATGTTAGTAAGACTCCCTCTTGCAGAATCAACTTGTTGTCAAATTATAAAATTGAAAAAAAATAATTAACATAAGAATAATAAAACTAGATTAAATGTCTATAAATAATAATAAAAACAATATCCATAGCTAGCATTGAGTTTATGGGTCATATCATTATCTCTTGAATTTTCCATCTAAAACGAGAATATATTTTTGAAGAAGTTAACTAAGCTGTTTAATAATGAATTTGATATTCTCTCAATTCCACAATGGTATATTTATTAATATTCAACAATTTTAATTTAATATACATTCCTTAGAAATTCAACTGGTTATAATTTTCAAGGAATGCATTTGTCATCTAATGTTGGTTTAGTTATTATATTCTCATTCCATCTTCTTATTATATATTTTTAATTTTTTGATCCACCATATCATTAAAACATTTGAAACTTATAAAATGAGAAATAAAGAGAGCAACAAAGGCGGACAAGAGTCCTTTAAACAAACAAAAATAAAGATAGGAAAATCCAGACAAAAACCAAATAAGTAAGAGTGCTGAGTTCGCACACTGTATTCTCTTCCTTTATAACGGGATAATTTAATTTAAATTATACCATGTACAAAAGTTGGTAAAAGAGAACATGTTAGTAGACTCTGTTTTTGATGTGCATCTGCAATATTGGAAGCCATTTGCAGCCAACACATTATGATTAACTTTCATGACCTTGAGGCAGACCTATGATCGAAATTATTTTACCAAAAACAGAGGTGTTGAATTTCTCTTGATATTTGTTTCATACGCTTCTTTTTCTCTCACTTTCTCCCAAATTTTTGAACGCCATAAATTGTGAAACAATTTAAAGCAGTAAATACAACTGCCTAATCAACACAAATTAATAGGAAATTTTTGTGTAGATGCCTCTTCACTTGTCGCAATAATTCTCCTCCTCTCTCATTGAAAGGGAGTTAATTCTTCGGAAGCTCTGGATATGCCCTTGAATGAACTAATAGCCGGTCATGATTCATTAAGTTATTTATTTATTATTCTATTGGATTAATATTGTAGAATCAGAACTTTTTTTTTCATTTTCTATATAGGGTATATACAGAATTATAGCCCCTTCCCTCAACAGAAATACAATTCCACTATGCCGCGGACATGGAGATGGCAGTACTATCAAAACAGAAATAATATACCACCAATAATTTCACTGTTTCTTTTCTCACTATCTATTGCAGATTCATGTCTATTTTCCATCTGAATGTATTGCTAGCTATAGCCTAGGTATGCCTAAAGCTGATATGAGGCTAATGATTGAAAATTCCTCTTTCTTTTCGTAAAGTACTTTTTCAGATAACAAAAAACAACTTAATTTTTTATAGCTAGCATTTTTTATGGCTAAAAATTAACTTAATTTTTCGTAAAGTATCTTTTGCATTTTCTTTTCCGAAGAAGTTCAATATGTTTTCTAACTCTAAGAATGTTTGATTTGTTTCATTTTGGTGGCACATCCTACATAGAAAAATAGTGGCGCAGGTTCCCTGAATGTTTTTTAGTTTCATTGCAAATGCAACTGGTCATAGGATGTGGTTTGTTTCTAAGAAAATGGTGAGCTCTACGAATTATGTTGGGTTTTAGGATTATATATTATTGCTACCGTTGGTGATACCTTACAAAATGAATTTTAATTGTAGATATTGATGACTCTAGGCCTGGTAGAGGCTGCCTTATAGTTCCATGGTACCTTGTTATTGTAACATCAATACTCCCAGTTTATATCTTCTGTAGTTTGATAAAACACATTAATTTTTCCTAGCAGGTTGCAACATTCATTATTCAAAAAATTCTATTGGATGATGTGGACTTGTAATTAATGATAAGAGATTACGAATATTTTTGAATGGATATAAATTTCAAATCAAGCAATTCGAGATTATTTGAACCATGGGCATAGGCTATCGTGCAAAGCACGGTGCCTCGCAACTAGTACATATATTAAACTATATAATAGTATTTCAGACTTTTGTAATATGTTGTTTTGTCTTCATATATAGCAAGATTTTGGATAGAAAGATATTTCACAAAAGTTTTAAAACAAATTAATTACAACTTGTAGGAGCCAAGCAAAGGGATAAATGGCAAGAAACATTCTCATTGAGAAATGCAGGTAACCTTGCACATTTCTCATGCTTGTACTTTTGGTTGCTTGCTTTTCTACTCAAGCTTTTGTCATTATTGCATATGGATCCCATCATCTATTAAATTTGAGTAAACAAACACTTCATAGGGTAAGCAAAACGGTGCAAGTGGTGAACATAGGGTGCACAGAGGTGGTGCTTGGAAGAATTCCCTTCACCAGAAGCCTTAAAGCATTGAATTATTGTTTCAACCAAACCACCAATAGAACATCAGGAAAGGAGTCACCAGACCTTGCAGCTTAGCTGGATCCTGATGACAAGATGAGCTTAGAAATAAATTTATTTCATCAGCTTATAATCTACAAATGAAATTTACTTCATTCTGTTATAATTTCTAAGGTTCTCAATTACTTTAACATGTTAAAATTTTGTTATGGTTAATAGGACGACATCGATCAGGATGATGAAGGCAATGATGACTGTGAGCAGAAATCATGCCAGCTAGGAGCACGTCAATACAAGCATCCGATTGCAATTCATGCTGGGAAACCAAAGAATGGATTGAAAGAGGCTTTGAGGGCTGGAATTGGAAAAATTAAATGTCTTAGTTTGAGTGAAACAACACTTGAAAAGGCAACAAAATCTTATGGAATTGACCTTGTGAGGTAGTCACTGAAGTTCTATGTGCTTAATACCTCTAAGAATTATCTTAAAACATTTATATTTTTACTCCAGTGAGTGATTAGATCTCTACTGTTTTTTATTAATCTTTTCTTTCTTGTCTCCCTTAGGTTCACACAGAAGAATATTCTGAGGGTATACCCAAAGTGGACCCGAGTCACCTCCTCAAATTTCAATCCACTTACTGGATGGATGCATGAAGCTCAGATGGTTGCATTTAATCTGCAGGTTAGTTTTGAAGTCTTATGTCTTCATAAAATCATGTTATTCATGTTTTTTTGGTGAGCTTTGGTAATATTTTCTCTATTTCTTAATCTTGTGTGGTTTGATTAGTTAATGATGTAGAATGCAAGTTCAGTTAAAAAATGGCTTAAATATATGGAGTGGGAAAATATTACTTTTCAGGATTGATTTCTAGTTTTTTATTCTATTTTTGCTATTGACATCTATGTAAAGCTTATATTACACACTATAGTCTCTGGATAGCTTGGAATTTTTCTAATTCTATCTTTTTCATTTTTTTAGTTCAATTTCATCCTATTACAATGTAATGTAACAGCATTGAAAATAAAAAATAAAAAATGACTACATTGCAGCTTCTAGTAGTAGCATAATATTACATAGAATGTCAAATTTGAGTCACATGATGTGATTTGTTTAATGTTAATATTCTTATAGAGGTTAATATTCAACCAATATCTTGGGAATCTGGGAAATTCGTTTGTTTGTTTCTTTTCTCTTTATTTTTTGCTTTCCTTATATATAGATTTGACAGCAAGTCAAATGCAGGGTTCAAATTTGATGCCAGAGAATAGATACATATCCTTATAAATGGATAGATCCAACTAATTCTCTTTATTTACTATTTCAATAGTTAGCATGTTGCAAAGATAGCTTATGAGAATCAATTTGTGATGAGTACTCAAGAAATTATGAAATTTCTTGAAAATCAGTTAAAAGCTGCTCAGAGTCCTGTTGAACTCATGTTAAAATTGTGAATTTAATAAACGCCATTTTTAGACACTAAAAACAAATAAACATAATACAATGAACTAATCAAATATATGTCTTTAATTTTATAGTGTATATAGCGATCATGGTTTTACTCCGACCTTTATTGTGTTCCGGACTCGAGTTCCGTGATTGTATATTGTTGTCTATGTCTTGTTTCCTCCCTTTAATTCTTTGAATTTAAGCTTTGGGACTTGTTGGGCGAGTTTGGAACAAGTTGGTTGCTTTTTGATACAAATGGTTGTTGCCCAGAACTTGGTCCTTCCGCTCGAGCGGGGATTGTGTTTGCAGAAAATACTGGGAGAGCGTATTTCACGCTCGAGCGCAGGGTTTCACACTCGAGAGGGAGTCTGTGTCTTACGCTCGAGCGGGACTTTCCACGCTCGAACGGACCATGTTATAACAGATCGTGAAACTGACATTTCAGGTCATTTTTCTGCTTCCTGTCTCTCTCTCTAAAAGTCCCCAAAACACAAATCTAGAGCTTTGTGTAACAACCCACATTAATGTTCTAGTCATGTTTGCATACATTTGTATGTTTTGCCATGTTAAGCTGATGTAACAACCCACATTTTCATGTCATGGTCATGTTCATGTTCATTTACATAACTTCATCTTGTTAAGTTTGCATTCATGAATCTTGTCTTGTTTGCTTAAGTGTTGTATGCATGCTTTGTTCCTTCCTTGGTGTCTCGAGCCTGAGTTATGTTACGCCTAGATCATTCCAAGCCGAGGTCATCTTCAGTCTAGAATTGTCTTGGAACCACTTTGTTGACCTCCACCTTCGCTCTGACATATTGGCCGAGATGTCATTATCTAGGCTGAGGTGTTCATCACCAAGGCCGAGATGTGTATTATCTAGGCCGAGATGTTACCTTTGTACCTAAGTGATCTTGTCTTGGTGCGGTATGACCTAGACCGAGGTGTGGTACATCTAGGCCAAGGTGTGGCACAGCTTAGTCAAGTGTTGTCCTTCCTAGCCGAGGTCATTGTCACCTTGGTTGCCGAAGCTTTGTCCTTAGCCGATGTCATCACTTGCCGGAGTGCCTTACCGGGTAGCTTGTTAGATACACTTTGTCATAGTCTTGTCTTGTTAATCTATCACCTTTTTGAGGAGAGCCAATCAGCCGTTGCCACGTGTCCGAGCTGAGTGTTAAGTCAGCCGGCAGAGAGAGAAACCCATCATTTGTTTCTATACTTGTTTTGAAGAAGAGAGAGAAGCTCTAGAAGAGGGAGAGAAGTTCTTGAGAGAAGGTAGATTTCCAAGCTTGATCCTTAGAGATTGAACCGTTAGATCCGTGTTCTAAGGTTAGATTCTTGATCTACCCATGTTGTTCTTTATGTTTATGTTATTGCATTCCATGATTGAATATGATTTGTAAGCCATGCATTGCTTTGAAGTTCGGTTTTAGAAAGAGAAAATAGCATTCATGTGTTCTTCAAGAAAAGTCATGTTTTGATCCGTCATGCCTAGATTCATGTTTTTGTGTTTGTTTTCACATGATTTTCAAGTATGGGTACCCAGGTCCATGTTTTTGAACTCATAGCATGAAATCCCTGATTTTTGTAAGAAAGAGGTTATGATTTTAGCATTCGTGTTCTTTATGATCTTCATGTTCATGTTCTTCATGTTCTTCACGGGTGGAAACCCATATCTCCAGACCTCACTTCCCGAGGTGTAGTCGCCGAGATCACTCTTACCTAGACCTCACACTTAGGCCAAGCATCGTATCTCACCTTGGCCTACCTTGCATGATCACTTACACCTTTAGCTTGTCTTGTGCGCACCTCGGCATGCAGCCGCATGCCGAAGCCTAGGTAGCCACACTTCGGCCAGGTGGTGTGGGACCTCGGCAAAGACCTGGTTGGTACTCAGCATGTCTTCCTGACATGTAAAACAGTGTTTTGATCATTTGCATGCATGTAAGACTTGTTTTGAGAAGTGCATTCAGTATGCTTTGCCATGTGTTTGTAGGACTTGGACCTTTGCCTTGATCCTGACGTCCCAAGAATTAAGTGAGTGATATTTTTAATAAAGCTATGTTATACGTTTTGATAAAGGTTTTGCTTTGCTTTGTTTTGAAAGCGTTTGTTAAGCATGAATGATATCCCTATTTTATGTATCAAGTATAAGCTTTGTTTTGGACGACATTCTTGGAACCGTCCTTTCGTGTTAGGGGACGTTAAGCCTAAGTAACACCGTCCTTCGTGTTAGGGGACGTTAAGCCTATGTAACATAGTCTTTTCGTGCTAGGGGACTTTAAGCCTATGTAGCATAGTCCTTTCGTGTTAGGAGACGTTAAGCCTAAGTAACGCTGTCCTTTCGTGTTAGGGGACGTTAAGCCTAAGTAACGCCGTCCTTTCGTGTTAGGGGACGTTAAGCCTATGTAACATAGTCCTTCCGTGCTAGGGGACTTTAAGCTTATGTAGCATAGTCCTTCTGTGCTAAGGGACTTTAAGCCTAGGTAGCACTGTCGTTTCGTGCTAGGGGACGTTAAGCCTAACTAGCACCCTTGTTAAGATATCGGCCGCTGACGTACTATGAACGGGTGTGCGCGATGCCGAGGTTATGCTTTTGTTTTGCCCGGAATGTCATCACCCCATGTTTTAAGTTGACGTATGTTAAGTAAGTAAACAAATTTTGAAAGACCAAGGTTCGATTGATGTTTTATTTCAAGCCAAGCTAAGCTATGTTATGTATGGTTTTGACAAGGATATACTATGTATTGTTTTGAAAAGATCTCGGGTATCATTCATTTAATCCCTTTATTACTTGTACCATTCACTGAGTATCCAAGCTCACCCTCCCTATGTATGTATGTAGGTAACAAGCAAGAAGTCGGCTACGCCGAGATGTGTGTTATGTCGGCAATAAGGATGTCGGCAATCTTGAAGATTAAGCTTCTTAGTTGTATTTCATGTATTTTGTATATGTCGGCTAGAGAAGCCCTTTTGTTAAGATGTAATATGTGTCTTTGTACTTCATTTTATTTATATTCAAGTTTTAAAGCTGTGTAAAGATGTATGCCATTCCATTTGACTTATGCACTGCTCTTATGGACCACTTGTATTTTAAATTATTGCTTCTGCACTTGTGAGCCCCATATATTTATACTATGATTGCGTGTGAATTTTGAAAGTTGGCCTTCGGTAATCTCGGATTACTGGTCATCACGGCACCAAACTACTAGGGGCGATTTGGGGTCGTGACACTTTGTCTCTAGAAAACCATCTTCTTTCTTTGATTTCTCCAAATCCATTGGGATTTTGGCCATAGTTCCTTCGTCAAAATTGTGTAACTTTTGGAGGGTTTCGTTGTGTGCGGTGGAGATCGAGTTTCATCGTCATTGATTTTGGGGGTTTCAACTCTTTTCTTCTTCTACACTTGAGTTAGGGATTTTCTACACTCTAATATGGTTTTTAGCTTAGTTATTTGCTATTGTGTATAGATGATGAGATATTTGGTTGTGGTTTGGACAAATTTGGGATTTGGATGAGAAATGAAAAGAGGGGTTTTTGATGAATATGAGGTAAATGAATATGAGGTTTGAATATATGATTATGCTATGCCAAAAATAGTTGATTTTGGTGTTTGGGTTGATGTAGACCGCCTGAAATCCGCTCTGCGCGCGAGGGCGCGAATTGTGGTTCTAGCTACTACAGTTCGGACTCCTGTCACGATTCTGAATCTAATCTCACAAAGTGCAATGCAAGACTGATAAATCACCAAAGAGTCCAAATCCGAAAAATTATTTTAGAAAATTGATTTTAATAAAAAAGCGCCAAACATGGACTGCTTTGTCAGATTTCGGAGTCGTCACCTAAATATTTTGTTTTTGGGAAATTTAGGAAACCCTGACTCGTGTCAAAGGCCACGTGTCCGTCATCACCAAAGTTGCCTCGGCTCGGGAACTTGGGTACGAGGGGGGAAGGTCATGAAATGAGCACCCCCGCTCGCTCGATTAAAGGATCGGCCTCTACTAAGCATGATATGATGTTTTTAAAAACACATGCGTTCTTATTCTGATTATTTAGCTAACTTACCATGTGATGTGCACAACATACAAGTATAGACTTAATCACACGGATTGAAACAAAAAAACTCATGCTTGTTTTTTTTTTTTAAAGTGGTTTGAAAATGCTACTCGCAAGTAGGCTAAGACGCGGATTTGCCACCCTCAAGTTGGCTTAGAAAAACATGATTTTGCCACTTCAAGTGGGCTTAAAACTCACAATCATCGAGTTGTTCCAATTCAGGTAATCAAGCCTCCACCCACAGGCATTCAAGCAGTTATAGCAATTAAGCACATAGCCTCATGGCAAGTATGCTAAATATGGCAACACTTACACGCATGCAAGGATGCTAAAGCATAAACACTTACTTAGTACTCCGAGCCAAAACAAAAGCTAGTTGGTAATCAATGCATGATTCTAGCTATGTCAACAATGCCTAATGCAAC